AGTAATGTGGACCAGCTTTATAAATGTCCTAGGTTTTGAGTTCTGTTTGCAAAATGCTGCTTTTTTATTCTTCCTGCCTGGTTCTCAGACCTAATCTGCCGACTCATATCTCAAGAACTTGTAGTCAAGGATCATAAAGGATTTGGCAGATGTTCTCTTGACTAAGTAGAGCACACAATTAAAACTCGTTTAAAGGCATTGGATTGGTTTTTGGTTAAAGATCAAAGTGGTAATAAGGCAGATGTCTTCCGTCTGTCTCTATAAACCAAGCCAAACTTCATGCTTTTGGTCCTGAATGGAGCAGTGCAAACCATTAACACCACGAGGAAACACTATTCAAAGTATATGCCTCAACTTCCCCTGGACAGCTGAGTATTTGAGGAATTTATACGCTTGACCCTGTCAGGATATTCACTGCAGTATGGTTACATGGAAGCAAATATTCACTGCGATGTGGTTGTATGGAAGCAGAAGGCTAGAAACGTATGGACATTCCCAGGCTAAATGTCCATACATTATGATGGATCCATACTATGGGACTGCGGGATGCCATGCAGTTCTTTGGGCACTGCCATGAAACAACAAAACAGAAAACAGTAAGGTACCCGAGGATGTGTAGAGTATGCTACCATTCATGTAAAAGGAGGAAAAGGCATGAATGTCTATGTGAATGCATAAATCACTTCCGAAGGAAATGTAAGACTCTGGTTATTGTTGGGGAGGAGGAGAACAAGGCCTGGGGCCAAGGGAAGAACATGTACATTTTGCCGCATTTTAGAGTTTGTATCATATGAAAAGCAAAAGGAAAGTTCAGTGCAAACTGGGCAGTTGATAATATTACAGTGAAAATATTAGACCAATTTGTCCTCTAAGGAAGATTGAAAAGGGCAGGTTTTTTTTTTTTTTTTAGGGATACATAAGAAAGCTGAAGATAAGTAGAATGCACTTGCTCTAAATCTGTCGTTCCCAACCTGTGAGTTTCAGATGTTGAGGGTGGAGGGATGGTAACTGACTCATGGTAAGCACTTAATAAATGTTTAGTTTTTGAATGGCTTAATGAATACTTCTTCTTGGCTTGGTTGGGGGTGGATGGGAGAAGTGATTCCAGTTGCGTTGGTACTTCCTGCTGCCCGGCACAGGAAGCCTTCTCTGCTAAAGGCACCTGTGGACTGTGACTCAGCACAAAACCATCAGTTTACTGGTGCAATGTATATTTACTCTTCAGAAATACTGAGAAAATGAGGGACTCTGGAGAATGATACACAAAGTGGTGTGGAATGACTATGCTTAGAATCTTACTGGAATAGCCCCTGGAGAAAAACCCAAAGTTTTTGCTTTCCCTCTCAGTTATCCAAACTCCTGATAATTGATAGCTAAAGTTTAGGAAAAGGGCAGTACAAATTAGTGAATAATAAAGGCCTACCTTCCTTCAATGTACCCAGCATAGAAAGATTGGGAAAGGAATAATACTGCTATGAAAAACAAAACAAAACATCAACGCTGTTCATTGTTGTTGAATGGAGGAACCCTCTAGTACATTTTGATATGTCAGGTGATTATTTTAAAGTAACATTCATTCTTTTTTTCTGGTTATGAAATAATGCATATTTCTTGTTGAAAATCTAGAAAATACAGAAATATTAGGGAAAAAAGTAAATTAAAATGTACCATAATCCTACCACTTTGATTACACAGTTAATATTTTTGCATATGTGTGTATGCATGAATGTGGTTTAACTGGGATCGTACTCTAATCTTTTTTTGTTTTTATTCATCCCCTTAAAGACAGCTTATTCTTTCTCTTGTTTTTATTTTCAGAGGCATCGTCTTGCTCTGTTGCCCAGGCTGGTGTGCAGTGGCACAATCATGGCTCACTGCTGCCTCAATCTTTGGTGCTCAAGTGGTTCTTCTATTTCAACTTTCCGAGCAGCTAAGACTACAGGTGTATACCACCACACCTGGCTAGCGTGTGTGTGTTTTGGGGCAGGGGACCTTGCTATGTTGCCCAAGCTGGTCTTGAACTCCTGGCCTCATGCAATCCTCCCACCTCAGCCTCCCAATGTGCTAGGATTGCAGGCATGAGCCACCGTGCCCAGCCCAGTTTATCCTTTTTATTTAATAAATTATAAACATTTTCTCCAATTCATTTTGCATCACTTTAAAAAAGTTTTTACGAGACAAATAATTATTAAACCAGTTCCCTGTTCTAATGGTTCACTATAATGAAAAAGCATTTTTGGTGAAACACCTTTGAAATAAATCTGCTTTTTTAAAAAGAATAAATTTCTATAGGTGGAAGAGTTTGATCAAGTAATACAGTTTAAAATGTTTTGATTTATGTTGTCTAATACAGTTTAAAATGTTTTGATTTATGTTGTCTTTCAGAAAGATGGTATTAGTTTATATTCCCAACAACACTGTGTATTTACCAAAAGTCCTTAACAAAAAAGTGCCCCACTGTTTTTTTTTAAAAAAAGCTTTTAATTTGTGTGCTAGGGAGTATGAGCATTTTAAAAATAACATCTATCCATATGAATTCCTTCTTTGATGGCATACCTATTCATGTCCTGCATCCATTTCTGCATGTAGGGTGTTAATGTTTTACATACCGATTTATCAGAGGTCTGGAAAGTAACATCAACCTTTTGTCACATTTGTTAAAAACATTTTCTCAAATTAATCATTTGCCTTTTTGGTAATGATAATTGATGTATCTAAATCTTGTACATTTATTCAAATATGTCTACTCACCTTGCCTTTGGGTTCTTCCTATGCCTTAATATCTAGGCCTTCCCCTCCATATAATTCGTGTATGTTTTCTTCTTCTTCTCTTGTGATTTGCTTGTTTGTAGTTCTCTAAGTTCTTATATTTGTTTTGGTGATATTTAAACAAGCCCTTAGTTTTACTTTTTTCCCCAACATAATTTATTAAATAATTTAGCCATTTATACTTGTCCCAACAAAGTGAAATGCCACATTTATCATACAGTGAATTTTTAGGTATATTAAATGTTCCTAGCCTTCCAGTTATTCCACTGATGCTTAATCCATCCATTCTTGTGTCAACACTACACTGTTCTAACTATAGTGTTGCAATATGCTTTAAGATTTGATAATACAGGTCTATCTCCCCGGGTTTTTGTTTGTTTGTTTATTGAGATGAAGTTTTGCTCTTGTTGCCCAAGCTGGAGTGCAATGGCACGATCTCGGCTCACTGCAACCTCCACCTCCCGGATTCAAGTGATTCTCCTGCCTCAGCCTACTGGGTAGCTGGGATTATAGGCGTGCACCACCATGCCCGGCTAATTTTTTGTGTTTTTAGTAGAAACAGGGTTTCACCATGTTAGCCAGTTTTGTCTCAAACTCCTGACTGCAGGTGATCTGCTCGTCCTCGGCCTAACAAAGTGTTGGGATTGCAGATGTGAGCCACTACGCCCCGCCATCCCCCCCGTTTTTAAAAGATAAATTTCTTAGCTTTTCTCGCAGATATTCTCCCATTTGAATGTTAGAAAACATGTTAAATGCCCCCTCCACCAATCTATGCACAACCATTAAAATTTTATTAAATAGGGTAATTTGGGTTAAGTTGGTGTTTGTACCTCTATTCGTTCAAGCCTTATTGTGTTTCACCCTTTGTAACGTCTTAAGAGCCTGCACATTTAGTCAGTTTATGTTTAGGTATCTTACACTTTCAAAATAGTTCTTTTTGTTTGTTTGCTTTACATTAAAACTACTCTTCAAGGTCCAGTTGAAGCTTATCAAAGTTGATTTAATTTTTTCCAGGTGGGTCTTCATGTGCAGGAAAGCAGTCAGAAACTAAAGGCTCTTCAGTCGGAGTTATTTATTGAGTGTTCACTTTATACCTGGTGTAGTGATTATCCCTTTACACGCATTATCTCATTTAATTTTCAGCAGGTTGATGCAACTTTTATTCCCATTTTACACACGAGGTTCTGAGTTTGAGGAACTTGACAAAAATCACCCAGTTGGTAGGTGGATCAAAACTATCACAAATATCAATCAGCCAAGAAGGATAGCTCAATGCTATGCCATCAGATGGCCTGACTCAAAAGAATGACTTTCCAAAAACAATCAACTGAACTAAAAAGACAATGTTTTCCATCCACCGGACCCGGCAAAAAAGCCTGGTTCTCCTCCAGCGTGAGGTGTGGAGAAATATTCAGCAGGAGCACAGTAAATACCAGTGACTTAGGCTCCTTTAGAATTAGGGACTCGTGGGTGAACAAGGGTGATTTTTCTGCAGCTTTAACAGGAATTGT